CATTAGATTTTAGAAAATACAATTTTTTATTTTTTTGTTTATATTTTTCTAATTTACTATAGGAAGTGATATTGATGAGAGCATACCTTTTTTAGAATATAATATCAACAAATAAATATTCCATTCCAATCCAAGATTTAAATCCAACTAGTCAAGAGTATCGAAGTGAATAATTTAAAAGTAGGCTAGGTTCTAGCTTTCTTTTCCCTGTGTGTTCACGTCGTTCAACTTTATTGTCTTACTTTAACTTATTTTGTTAGTATTTCCTTCTACTTATTACTAGCACTTGCTTCCTGATATTTATGTATTTTATATATATATATATATATATATATATATATATATATATATATATATATACATAAATTAAATATCCTCCTACTTTTTATTCCTATCAATCCTCCTACCCATTTAAATGATGACATATGCCACATTAGTATACTAAAATATCATTAAATGAACATTAAATGTTACACATGTCACCACTTAATTGGGTTTGAAGATTTGTAGGAACAAAAAGTAGGAGGATATTTAATTTCTCATATATATATATATATATATATATATATATATATATATATATATATATATATATATATTGTGACAACCCGAAATTTCTAACGTGTACATTCTTCATTTTCATCAAAGTTAGCCTCGTTTCGCTATTTTGTAATGAAGTTTAGGGTCTATATGAGTGCTTGAGACTTAGTATAACCTTGATATGAGTCTTAGGAAGGGTGAGAATCTGTGTAGCTTCACTAAAACGGGCCAAACACACCTAGCAAGGTGTATGCGGCCAGCCAGCCGCACACAGCCAACTGCACACTCTCCTAGCCTCACACTCCAACCTATATAAAGGACCCTAAGTCAACCATACACCCTTTTTCACACTCCTTCAAAGCTGGAACATTTTCTCTCAAGAGTTCTTCACGTTTTCCTCTCCAATCATCAAAACAAGTAAGTAAACATCCTTAGATCATTACTACAACACATTTGAAAGCCTTTTACTCGAGTTTGATCCATGAAATCATCATTCTAGATGATCTTCATGTGTGTACGGCCGCACACACATCATGTGTGACCGCACACACATCTTTTGGTCCTAAAATGGACTTAAACACCCATCCAAGCTTAGCATCGACCAAAACACCTTCTTAGGATCATCCCCAGGCCTTAGAAAATCGATTTGGACACGGTTGTATGGGGGTGTACGGCCGCACACAGGCCTGGCCGCACACACCTGGCCGCACACGCCATGTGCAACCGCACACACCCTTTTTGGGGTCCAAAATGACAACAAACCCCCAATCCGGTTAAGCAACGGTCAAAACACCTTCACTAGAACATCCCAAAGGCTTGGAACCACGTTTTTGACACACTCCATAGTGAGTGTGCGGCCGCACACTCTGGCCGGACACACACAAAATCCATACTTTTGTGGCCTTACACCTCAATATAGGGCCATACACTCCTTATGTGCAACCATATGAGTTGGTAACACTGAATTCTAAGTGTTTTTATGTCCTTAAGACATGTCCCTATCACCATTAGTGGTTATATCTACTAATGTATTCACATATATGTAATTATATGTTAAATAGGATTCGTTTGTGCTCGAGACTCCATTTGACACCCAACAATCCTATATCGATCTTCCATTCGAGTTACTCACTGCAGGTGAGTTCATACCCCTTAATTAACCTTTGAAATGATTTTAAATGCTTTTATGGGGGGGGGGGAATACAAGTTGAACATTTCTAGTTATTGCTTTAATCACATGTGATTAATAACTAGAACAAACAGAAAGATTTTCTATTGCTTTCAAATTGCTATCAAACATATGGATTTTCAAATGTTTCAAAACCCTTTTATTAAAATTTAAATACTAAAACTATTTCCAAAACTCTTTTAAACTTGCATTGTTTTCAAACTCATATCTACACTAATCTATTTATATAAGTAAGACTTGAAGGACTTAGGACTGATAGCTCACCTTACTTCCTGTTCCTTGTTTGGTTGTGGACTTAGGGTATTCTGTTATTTGTCCGAATGTCGCTAAATTCTTAGTTATATATCATATACATATGTGTTGGATATAAAAGATTTTACTTCAGTTCAGCACCTTTGTGTAACAAAGGCATCCAAACAATCTTACTATTTAACTATAATAGGTATAGTTAAGGGATTACTACTCACTACTACTATTACAACGACCCATACAAGAGTCAGTACCTTTATGAGTCACTACATAAGTACTACATTGAGTATCAATACATGCTATACACTACACAAGAGAACATACTATACACTATACAAGAGAATATACTATACACTATACAAACATTAAAATACTATAAAAGAATGTGACATACTACTTCTCGATACGACACTTCATCGTGGTATCACTTTGTAACCAGAGTCTCCTGGAGGGAGAGCGGGCATTGTGTGTATAGATCTATACGGGACAGACACTCCCACATCCTGACTGCTAGCTACAGTCCCAGCCGTAAGGCCAAGGGGTGACAGAATGCTACCTCACTATTTGTGACCTGGAGGGTCACCTGTTATTCAGCCGTCGATCAGCATGGTTACATACAAGTTCACATTCAAACCTTAAATTAACTAAATAAGAATTTAAGGCAAAAATAGACTTTTCGAGGCGTATTGTTCATTTAATACCACCTGGAGTCTACCTTTTTCATTACTTTAGATTCCCCTAGGTGTGTTGTACATTTAGTATTACCTGGAGTCTGTATATTATCATTTTACGACCAGCAGTGTCACTGCTGAGCAAAAAATATTTATTTCCCCTATTACACCTATTTTGTAATCACCTTACAAGGGTGAAGTCTAAAACTATATTTTCATACTAATAGTTTTCACTGGGAAGAAACCCTTACATTTAAGAAAGAACAAACATACAACCAATCGGGTCTTGGTAGAAGACTACTTTTACTAGAAAATATAGGGTTTTCTAGGGATCATACTATTTACAAACGTCTGAAACCAGTTATTACTCTACATTGATACAATCATTTTTATACGAGCAATGACACTAAATACTTATGAACTCACCAGCTTTATGCTGATACTCGCTTTCAAAATAACTTGTATTCTCAGGTCATCAGTAGACAGGTACAGATGAAGCTTTTGAGAAGATGGAGCACATACAAGACTCATCTTTTATTTTGATTATACTTTTGGTGTCTTATAAACTATACAGAACACGCTTGTATTACACTTATTATATTAATGCAATGGATGTTGTTGCTTGTCTTTACTATTATGCATTGTTGTGATACTGTACATGACGTCCTCCACCCCAGAACGTTTCCGCCGTTCTTGGTTTTGGGGTGTGACAGATTGGTATAAGAGCATTGTTTATAGTGAATCAAGTATATCAACCCATAAAAGATATACGAACTATAAACACATCGGGATTAAAACACTCTGACCAAGAATATATACTTTTAAATAATAAAATATTTAACCAAGTATATATATACACCTACTCGTATCAAAGGTCAGTATCATACTAGCACAGAACAAAAGTATTATGATTGGTGAACATCACAATTAGGTTTAGAGACATATAGTCAAACCTAAGGGGATATAGCCTGATCAACTATATTTTCTGAGGAGTGACTAGCATGTGCCTAAGAATGATTGTAATGTTGCAACAAGTCTAAAAACTTACCAACACTACCACAACGAGAACATTAGAACAAAATACTATAGGGGTATTCTGCATTACTATAGATTACACATGTGAGAACTAAAAAGGTCGTTACTAGTAGGGCAATAGTTGCTAAGTGGATACTCTAAGGTTACATGCGACTAAGACGCTATAGACTCAGAATCTGTGATCTTTGCTTTATTTCCTGTTCCTTGTTTGGTTGTGGATTTAGAGTTAGGGTCACTTATTCGAAGGTCTATCCTGTTTTGGTTGCATGTAATTGGTATGCACTATGCAAGTATTAAGTCAACTAATAACGATTATCTTATAAGTATCTTAGGTTAGCACGTCTATTAACTAATTCGTTCTCCATTCTCGCATAGATATCATGGCTGACGTAAGAGTTAGCCCAAAGGGTGCCCGTCGCCAGTAGAAGATTATCTGCTCATCCTCTCTCTCTTCTTAAAAGAACAGCCTTTCTCTTCAGTATCTCTGTTTCACTTGTTTGTAAACATTCCTAACCTTGAAAGTACTCTAACCAGACTACTAAACTGCCAACATTTTTCCCTTATGGTTTGATGCGAGACCTACTGTTAGGTCATTCTTCCTGAACTCATTGTACATCATTAATACCAGTAATATTGGCAGTTGTCTAATCTATGGGAAAGCCTGTACCCTTATGTTTCCCTACTCTATTGTTATGACTCTATTTGATAGTTGGACTATGGCGATTTAGTCCATGGAACACTCTCATCATACTTGCAATCGATTCTTACTATTTGTCATCATCTTTCTAAACTATCAGTAAAAGATGCCGCCTCGCAAGCGTCCAACTAGAAGCACACCTGCGAATCAAACTCCACCACCACCACCCCCTCCGCAGTTCGATGCGGTGATGTTCCAGGCAGCTGTGACCGCCGCCATGGCCCAAGTAAACTCTGGTGGCGTTAGTGGAACGGGAACTGGCACTAACTCAAGCCATGGTGAAATCCATCCACGTGCACGGGAGTATACTTATAAAGATTTCATCAGCTGCAAACCTATATATTTCAACGGAACCGGAGGGATTCTTGCACTGTCCCAGTGGATCGAGAGAACATAAGCAATCTTCGAGATGTGCTCGTGCCCTGAAGGAAGCAAGATAAAGTTTGCTGCTTGCACCTTCACCCAAAGGGCCCTGACGTGGTGGAATGGCCATGTCAAATCACTCTCACTGGTAACAGCCAACGCCATGGGCTGGGACACACTGAAGGACCTTCTGACAAGGGAGTACTGCCCGAGGGGCGAAATTCAGAAACTCGAGGAGGAACTCTGGAACCTCAAGATGCAGGGTTCCGACATAGTGGCTTATACAGCCAGGTTCTGCGACCTGGTGGCTCTATGTCCTAACATGGTTCCCACCGAAAGCAAGAAAATTGAAAGATACATCTGGGGTCTGGTACCCCTATATCGAGGGAACGTTCTAGCCTCACACCCTGCGACCTTTGATAGTGCCAAGGAATTGGCCCAAAGGCTCATCGATCAGGAGGTTCCTTCTACTCCATCAACAACTACAACTACTACCCCAGCACCAACCAACGCGACCGACAACAAACGGAAGCGTGGGGACCGAAGGAAGGGCAAATCAAATCAATCCTCTTCCAAGAACCAACAGATGGTGGCTGTCCATGCTGCCACTACTCCTGCTATCCCTGTACCAGCCAAAACATATGCAGGGAGCCTACCCAAGTGCACTAAGTGCTCTTTCCATCATAACGGCCCCTGCCGTGAGATGCACTGCACAAATTGCGACCGGAAGGGCCAACCGCCCGGTTTTGCAGAGCACCTCCCAAACCTATCACCAAGGTCCCTAGTACCGGAGTGAGTCAAGCCTGCTACGGTTGCGGTGAGACAGGGCACTTCAAAAGAAACTGCCCTAAAGCTGGGAATGCGGAGGAGCAGGAAGACTACTTGCTATTGGCCACAATGAGGCCGTGGCAGACCACACGGTAGTCACGGGTACGTTCCTTCTCGATAACTCTTATGCTTGTATCCTATTCGATAGTGGGGCAGAAAGAAGCTTCGTAAACCAAAAATTTAAACACCTACTTAAACACTCACCGCAAACACTAAAAGAAACCTTCGTCGTAGAAATGGCTAACGGCAAGACAGAGAGTTCTCACGAGATTTACTTAGGTTGTTCCCTCACGCTAGATAATCATTCGTTCCCAATCGACCTCATACCAGTAGCTATCCAAAGTTTCGACGTCATCATAGGCATGGACTGGCTGAGTCTTTATCGTGCCGACATTCTGTGCTTCGAAAAAGCAGTCCGCCTGAATCTACCGAATAACGAAACCTTGTTGATCTACGGAGACAAACCCAGTACGAGCCTTCGTATCATCTCGAGTATTCAAGCCCATAAGTACTTGCGTAAGGAATATCATGCATTCCTGGCGCACATTGTCGATACGAGCCAGAAAACAAAAGACCTAAAAGACCTCCCCGTGGTACGCGATTTTCCCGACATCTTTCCGGAAGAACTCCCGGGTTTACCCCCGCAACGTCAAGTCGAGTTCCGAATCGACTTAATTCCACGAGAGATCCCAGTAGCCAAATCGCCTTATCGTCTAGCACATGCTGAGATGCAAGAACTGTCCGGTCAACTTAACGAACTGCTCAGCAAGGGCTTTATAAGACCAAGCTTCTCACCCTGGGGAGCACCAGTCTTATTCGTGAAGAAGAATGACAGATCGTTCCGTATGTGCATCGATTACAGGGAACTCAACAAGCTTACAGTCAAGAATCGTTACCCTCTTCCTCGCATAAACGATTTATTTGACCAGCTGCAAGGGGCGAGCTACTTTTCCAAGATTGATCTGAGGTCCGGGTATCACCATTTACGAGTGCTGGAGGAAGATGTCCTGAAGACAGCCTTCCGAACTCGTTACGGACACTACGAGTTCGTAGTGATGCCATTCGGATTGACCAATGCGCCCGCAGTATTCATGGACTTGATGAATAGAGTATGCGTCCTTACTTGGATCAGTTCGTCATCGTCTTCATTGATGATATACTTTTCTACGACATTTACGACAAGTCCTAGGAACCTTACGATCGGAGAAGCTATATGCGAAGTTCTCTAAATGCGAATTTTGGATCCGAAGAGTCGAATTCTTAGGACACGTGGTTAGCGAAGAGGGATCCATGTGGACCCTTCCAAAATTAAAGAAATCAAGAACTGGTCAAGCACCGAAGACGCCTACGGAAATTCGTCAATTTCTAGGCCTCGCTGGCTACTACCCGCAGGTTCATTCAGAACTTCTCTCGAATTGCGAAAAACCCTCACTACATTGACCCAGAAGGGCGTGACCTTTGACGGGGAAGAGAAGCAGGAGAAAGCGTTCCAAACGCTGAAGCGAGCCTTTGTACAACCGCACCGATACTGTCCCTCCCCGAAGGAACAGAAGACTTTAGTAGTCTATTGCGATGCGTCAAATCAAAGGCTCGGAGTGTTATATGCACGAGGTAAGGTCATCGCCTACGCCTCAAGACCTGAAGACACATGAGTCACTACAACCCACACACGATCTAGAATTAGGAGCAGTTGTGTTTGCCCTAAAGATCTGGAGACACTACCTGTATGGTACGGAAAGCAACTATCTTACATACCACAAAAGCCTACAACACAATAGCAACCAGAAGAAGCTCATATGAGACAACGACGGTGGGTCGAGCTAGCTCATGACTACGATGCGAAATTTGTTATCATCAGGTAAAGCCAACGTAGTAGCAGACGCCTAAGTCGGAAAGAATATCTGGTCGAAGAGTCAAGTCATTACGATGACTATCCATTCCATCTATCCACACAAATTAAGGAGGGCTCAGCTGCGAAGCTTTGAAACCTGAAAAGTAGGCGGGAGAATCCCTGCGAGAATGGATAAGACCTGGAAGTCAAGGGTAACGGAGCCTTATATCTCATGGACCGGATCTGGACACCGAAACACGGTATCTACAGAGACTTGGTCATGAAGGAAGCACACAACACTCGATATTTTGTCCACCCGGGTTCAGATAAGATGTATCTGGATCTCAAAAAGTCATACTGGTGGCCTAACATGAAAGCAGAAATTGGTACCTTCATGAGTAAATGCCTTACTTGCGCAAAGGTTAAGGTTGAATACCAGAAACCATCAGGTTTACTTCAACAACCAGAGATACCTGAATGGAAGTGGGAGCAGATCACTATGGACTCATAACCAAGCTACCCAAGACAACGGGTGGACTTGATACCATTTGGATCATCGTCGACAGATTGACCAAGTCCGCACACTTCCTACCCATCAAAGAAACCGATAAGATGGAGAAGATCACAAGAACATACATTCGGGAGATAGTACGACTGCATGGTGTTCCTATATCCATTATCTCCGACAGAGATAGTAGATTCACTTCGAGGTTCTGGCAGTCACTACAAAGCTCCTTAGGAACGAGGCTGGACATGAGTACAGCCTACCATCCTCAAACCGACGGACAAAGTGAGAGAACTATCCAAACCTTGGAAGATATGTTGCGAGCCTGTGTGATCGACTTTGGGAAGGCGTGCGATACTCACTTGCCTCTTGTCGAATTCTTTTACAACAACAGCTATCACACGAGCATCAAGGCTGCTCCATTTGAAGCCCTCTACGGCCGGAAGTGCAGGTCCCCTCTGTGCTGGGCTGAGGTGGGTGACACTCAGTTAGCTAAAGAACGAGTTTCTGACAGCACTCTCACGGGTCCGGAGATCATTCGGGAAACGACAGAGAAGATCGTTCAGATTCGTGAACGATTGAAAGCCTCTAGGGACCGACAGAAAAGCTACGCAGACAAACGAAGGAAACCTTTGGAATTTCAGGTGGGAGACCGAGTCCTTTTGAAAGTCTCACCCTGGAAGGGCTTGATACGCTTCGGAAAGCGTGGAAAACTAAATCCAAGGTACATAGGGCCTTTCGAGATTCTCGCTAGAATCGGCCCCGTAGCTTACAAACTCAACTTACCCCACGAGCTTAGTAACGTACATCCTACCTTCCACGTCTCAAACTTGAAAAAGTGCCTATCCGAAGAGACTCTTGTAATCCCACTCGACGAGATCGAGATCAACGAGAGCCTTAACTTCGTGGAAGAACCTGTAGAAATCATGGACCGGGAGGTCAAACGAAGGAAACAAAGCCGCATCCCAATCGTGAAGGTTCGCTGGAACGCCAAGCGAGGACCGAAATTCACATGGGAGTGCGAGGATCAAATGAAACTTAAATATCCTCAACTTTTTACTTAGTTATTTGTAATAACTTGTCGATTAAACTCTAATTTCGGGACGAAATTCCCTCTAACGGGGGGATGATGTGACAACCCGAAATTTCTAACGTGTACATTCTTCATTTTCATCAAGTTACCTCGGTTCGCTATTTTGTAATGAAGTTTTGGGTCTATATGAGTGCTTGAGACTTAGTATAACCTTGATATGAGTCTTAGGAAGGGTGAGAATGTGTGTAGCTTCACTAAAACGGGCCAAACACACCTAGAAAGGTGTGTGCGGCCAGCCAGCCGCACACAGCCAACCGTACACTCTCCTAGCCTCACACTCCAACCTATATAAAGGACCCTAAGTCAACCATACACCCTTTTTCACACTCCTTCAAAGCTGGAACATTTTTCTCTCAAAGTTCTTCACTTTTTCCTCTCCAATCATCAAAACAAGTAAGTAAACATCCTTAGATCATTACTACAACACATTTGAAAGCCTTTTACTCGAGTTTGATCCATGAAATCATCATTCTAGACGATCTTCATGTGTGTACGGCTGCACACACATCTTTTGGTCCTAAAATGGACTTAAACACCCATCCAAGCTTAGCATCGACCAAAACACCTTCTTAGGATCATCCCCAGGCCTTAGAAAATCGATTTGGACACGGTTGTATGGGGGTGTACGGCCGCACACAGGCCCTGGCCGCACAACACTGGCCAGCACACCCGCCATGTGCCGCACACACACCCTTTTTGGGTCCAAAATGACAACAAACCCCCAATCCGGTTAAGCAATGGTCAAAACTGTTGGATTAATGTCTAAGTCCATAACTATATTTGGTATGTACTTGACCCGACCCGGCATGGTCCATTTGGGTTGCACTTCACCGGCACAATTATGGATAGTCTTTTGAGAATAGTATATTTATGATTTATATTAATATATTATAAGTTCTAATATATTAATATGGAATCATATTATTTAATTAGTATTGATAAGAATTAATTTAGAATTAATTAAGTGATAAAAAAGAACTAATTAAATATGGACTCTTATATATATATGGAATGGGCCAAGTTCATTTAGGTTGGGCTAAGCTTTCATGGATGGTCCATAGAGCTTTTAACCCATGGATCCTATGTAAATGAAAGGTCATGGGTATTAGGGTTTACATGGATGTAACCCTAATCCTCCATGATATATAAAGGGGTCCTTGGCTCACAAAATTGGCACAAGTGTGTGAAAATAAGAGTGGGCCAATTTTAGTGTGCATACATATTCTCTCAAGTTCTTCCAAGGTGTTTTGGTGATTTGTGATTCCATTGAGGCTTCCACACTATTGGGGCTAAGCTCTTAAAGCTTGAAGACATCAAGCTACATCAAAAGGTATGTCATCTAACTAGAACTTTGTAGTATAGGTGCTTCATAATATGCTAGTTAGGATGAAACCTTGGAATAGTTAATATTTGCATGTATAATAGAGAAAACATAGATCCAAGGTTTATAGGGTTGCATGTACACCATAGGAGTGTTAGAATGCTCAAACCCAACAGTGGTATCAGAGCCATGGGTTGTTTTCTGTTATATTGATGCAAATGTTTTATTTTCAAGTTGAAAAAAAGGAAAAAAAAAACATGACGTTTGTCAAATTTTAAGATAATTACTTGTTTTGTGAAAAACGAATTATTTGTAAAATTTGAATCATTTGTTATATGAGTTGAATTAGGTCAAATTTAGTAAAAGATAAAATGATATGATTATTTTATTAGTTTTAAAAGTTTGATCTAAATGTTTTAAGGAGTTACATATTTTGTCATAAAATTTTGGAGCTCAAAAGTTTTTTTAAAGTTGTGATCTTAAGGGTTTTTGAAACTTCCATAAGTTATGGATATGAAAGTTTTTTTTTTTTAAAAAAAATTGATTTAAAGTTTTTATGGAGTTACAAAATTTGGAGTTAATGTTTTAAAGAATTCCATAACTTGTTCTTAAGTTATGGAACATGAAAAGTTTCATCATAAAACAAGTATTTAACTCTATAAGTTATGGAATCCAATGGTTTTCAAGAATTACAAAACTTACCCTCAAGTTTTGGAATTTGAGAAAAGTTTTTTATGAAAAAAAAATTGAATTCTAAAACTCTTGGGTTCATAACTTAAACAATTAATTAAATGGTTTTAATTTTGAGTTTAATAATTGGAATTATGATGTTTTGTTGAATAGTTCAAATTAACTCTTATGGACTTTATTAATAGTTAATTAAAGCGTTTAAGTAAAAGAGTATTATTAATCCATAAATATATGGTTTGAGTTTAATTAAATTAAAAGTCTAGTTTAATTAATAGATTAAACCACCAAGTGTTTTAAATGTCTAAAATACACCCTTATACTATTATAATATTAAAAGTTTAATATATTATATGTATAAGAGCAAGTCGTCTTACCATTAGTAGGCCTCATTCACGAAGTCGGTCTATAAGGGGGGTATAAGGTTACTGCCTATAAAATGGCAGTTTAATGGGTGTCCACTCTCACTCACCGCTTCCTTGACCGGTGGAGGGTCGTTAGCCGAACAGGTAGGACAAGGACTATAATTCTCCCTTCATTATAAGTATAATGATAAATACTAAGTAACTAAACACTTATAAATTTTCAATCTTAGTTACTTAGGAAAATGTGAATAAGGTGCTAATCCATGAAATTACACTTTGCACTTTGTTTAAGCTGTTAGTGGAGCGTGTGTGGTTAACCGACACACTAACCTGGACTTAACAAGGTAGGCAAAGGGTAACTTAATGTTTATCATAGTATCGTTGGAGCGTGTGTGGTTAACCGACACATCGATTGAGGGGTAAATATTAAGGGTACCAAGTATATTTGCATGGTTACTTCACACCTTGTTTTGTGATCCTCGGCATCCCAGTCACAAAACCTGAAGGGCACACTCGAGATTGAAACATGCCATTGAAAAGTTCAATGAATCTCAAAAGAATCTAGGAGTTTCAAAACCAATTAAAACCTAATAATACATTTCGTTTATCTTGGGGGAAATTGGTGAATCGTCATTCACCTACCTTCAAATATTTTATAGCTTGGATTACGGCATCCCTCTTCCAAGTTATAAAATAGTTTGTTGGGTCCTAGCCTTAATATATCATATTGGGTGTTATATTAAGGACTTAAATCAACTTTACGTGAATTTCTCCCATTGTTGATGTCTGGTTTAGACAACAATGATCTTCCCAAACCAAGCTTTCCTAATGAATATGACTTCCCGAGTTT